ATATGGCTATAGCTGGATGGAACTATCCTTCAACACCTATAATGGCGTCAACACATAACAAGTCTTTTAGCTTGCTAATGCCGCTTAAACATATTTTCAACATTTTCAATGATTATCCTATGATTACGTGTGGCAGACAAACTCTCAGATTTGTGAGAGCTAGAAACGATAACGATTGTATCATTATCAAGGAAAAAACTGGAACGACGACGACAGCGAAACTAACTATTGAAAGCATGGAACTGAAAATCAAACATATTTACCCGAGTGATGATGTGAAAGAACAACTTTTGAAAGCTATTCAAACTGATAAGCCGATACTTATACCGTTTAGAAAATGGGATCTGAATGAACTGCCTGCAATTACCGCAGATGCGAGAAGAGAAATATGGTCAGTTAAAACTAGCACCGCAATCGAAAGACCACGTTTCATTATAGTATGTTTCCAAACCGGTAAACGTGACGTCGCAACCTCAGACCCTACCCTGTTTGATCACGTGAATGCTGCTAGTATTCGAGTATCTTTAAATGGTGAATACTATCCCAACGAACGTATGCAATTGGACTTTGCAAACAATCACTTTACTGAAGCTCATTTCAACTATAGCGACTTTCAAACCAGCTATACAACTTCTTCTTCTCCTCTGAAGAGATGTCTTTTAGATTATACCGCTTTTAAAAATCGCGCTTTGTTTGTTATTGACTGTTCCAAACAAGAGGAAACCATGAAATCATCAACTGTTGATGTTAGATTGGATATCGAAGCCGATACTGGCTTTCCAACCAACACCAAGGCCTACTGCATCATTATACATGACTGCTTAATCGAGTACTTCCCCCTCACCGAAGTTATTAAAACCATCTCGTAAGCAACGAAGGACTCTCAGTTCCGCATCAGACATCATGAGGATCGCGTTTGTTGACATTCAAGGCTTTACAGTTGACGGATTATTCGTACCTAAAGAACTATGTATCGAAATTGGTTTCAAGAAAAGTCATTACATCTTTACACCTCCGCAACCTTTTTCTACATTAAATACTAAAGACAAGAAAACTGTCGCTTACTTGGAGAAGAATTTCCATGGGCTTAAATATTCTTCCGGCGACGTTAAATATTCCAAGTTAAATGAAATAATTAAAAATAAGGTGATATATGCGGCTGACTATGTCTACGTTCGTGGAGAACAGAAAGCAAACTTTTTACTCAAGAAATGTCACATTTTTGGTGTTTTTCCCAACATTATTGATGTTTGCAAGTATGATGGTACACCGTGTGCTACTGGAAACTTTGTTGCTGATTCCAATCCATGCCACACCAACGGACAATTTTCCTGTACCCAGAGAAATGTTGAACGTCTACGCCACTGGTTTTCAAATATCATATTACCTATGTAGTTTTTTCTATTTTCAATAAAATATTAAACGTATTATTGTAGTTTTATTGAAAATACCTCTGGTTTGCGAAATAATTGTCAGAATGTCTATACTATTTTCATTTTGAACGGTATCATCCTGTATAATAATAACAGTACATCGTATACAGGTTATGAGACATTCTGACCGACCGACCGACCGACCAGAGGAGCCCACCACGCTATTTAGGTCACGCCTTGCTATATACGATTTAACGATATACCGTCGGTCCATCGATCCGCTATTTTTCGATGCACCCCTGTATACACGTTCTGAATGCCCCCCGTAATCCACGCCAACACCAGACAGGTGCGACATCGGCGCCATCTATGCGCGAGATGCCCAACCCATCAATGGCAGCTGTCCAATGACACATAGATTCCGTTTGGTTTGTACAGCGCCAAACAAATCGGCGCCATCTATGCGCGAGATGCCCAACCCATCAATGACAGGTGTCCAATGACGTATGACAGATGACGTGTAACGCCATCTATGCGTGAGATGCCCAATGACGCATGACAGGTGTCCAATGACACACAGATTCCGTTTGGTTTGACAGCGCCATCTAGCGGCGGAATCCCCAACTCATGAATTTCGATTACAGATTCCGTCCAACAACCTGTCAATGGCGCGCGACGCCAGCGCCTCTGGTGGCGGATTTTGGAAGTTTTGAGACCGAATCCCCATAAGACATCTACTATTATTCATTAATTTATATTGTTTCTCGGTTCTCTATACAGAGATCTTGGCTCCTGTTGTACCTGCAGCAAAGGTTAAATGCGGAAACTTTTAGAGGAAATCCAGTGCATTGGATAGCTTCAGATTCACGATCGGTCAGTTGATTTTGGAAATATCGGCGAAAGACCGAAAATGTGGAATTCTGTTTCTTGCCAGTAAATCCGAAACGGCTTATTCGACAGCTGTCAAGATGTGACATTTTTTAAGGCAAATAAGATAGCGTGTATGACATGCCTCAATCGTCTTTTGTTTCTCCGCAACCTGCCTCACCTTTCGTTTTTCTTATTGCAGCCATATTGGTTTTTTCGATTTTTGGAGAGAGCGTAAAATTTACGGGTTTGAGGTCAGGGTCGTGCGAATAGAGGTAATCAATTTATAAAAAGATATAAAACATCATTTTTTTGTTTCGCAAAAGAAAATTCAATCGATACCTACATGTTTTCCTAGCACAACCTTAAGGGCCAATTTCACCAACATTAATATTTGACGATCAGTTGGACCAATAGGAAAAGACCTTATCGAAATGCAATTTGACGGAAACTGTCTCTAAATATCAGTGATTTCTATTGAAATGTTGGATTAACTCGTGAAAAAACGGTTATCTTATAAATTATTAAATTATAAACTTCAAATTTTTATCATTTTACAAAAGACGGTCAGTTATTTAAATGGACCAATAAAAAAGAGAGAAATAGTAGCTATTATTATATTTAGTAGGATGTTTTCACTGTCTTTGACGATTGTTTATGCATGGCAGTCTAGTTTTGTATGTATATCACGTACAGTGTGTTGTACATAACACGTACCTGTACAAATGTGCCGATTTTCGTTATTTTGCAAAAAAAAAGATATAAAACGTATTCCAACTGGTTCATCATCTTTTGCTACATCAAAAACAATGCTAATTTATGATCTAATCTACACCAAATGTAAACAAATAGCACATTCTGCGTTTCTGGGTCCTAAAACATCAATATTTGTAAAAGTATCCGCATTCACCTATTACTCATCGTCTAGATATTATAAGTCAGAATCAAAAATACCTTTTTGTGAATTTTCATGTGTATTTACACATTGTTATATTTTCTTCTTATTTCTATTATTATAACACGTCTGGAATATCAATTGCTTTTAAAGGGATCTGCACATCTGCAGTGTTGCCGAACCCTCAAAAAAAAGGAATCGCTAAATAGTGTCGTTGAATTCGGTATAAGGTAAATGCCGTCCCAATATCAGTGGTAGATCAAGGACCTTTGAGTCATGAAAAACGTCTGTTATTGTATTGGGCACACACATGTTTTTTGAGGGCATAGTTCTATATTACAACTTCTACAGTGTGCATACTGGTCGGTCTTTCAAAGTACTTTGCAACCATTCTGGAAACTCCTTTTTCGATTCTTGCTTATAGGATTGTGAATATTTTGCTGTTTTACCCCTAAACTCATGAACTCACCTCTCATTTTAATTAACTATTTATTTTGAAAACAGACAGGTTTCGGTTTCTTTATTGCTTGTCCGGTGATGAGGTGATGACAGTAATCTACCAGTCTGTACCTTTTGTATGCACAAAAATCAATTCAGGGCAAGCGGAGTAAGGGATGAGGATGTGCGTTCGTAATCATAGGCAACCCAAATCTACACCTCTCATGTGCCAGACTGCTTGAGTGTGAATGCATATGTATGATTGATATGGGACATAAAACTATGAAGACTACATGAAATTAACTATTAGCTTTATTTTTGGTTTCAACTCTTTTTCGGCAAGTATAGAAATATTTAAGTTATTTTGAAAAATCGTGGAGAATGATGGTATCGGTAAATATTCTCTTTTCGGTAAAAATACCGGAAAATCCGGTTCAAGTCCATGCATAGACAATCTGAAATTTGCAATATGAATTTATATTCTATATTCTATGCATATCCGTTCATATTCGTCAATATTTCATTTGAAGCTTTTATTTGTAAGCTTGCATTTGTATATAAGATTAGCAAAATGGAAAATAGTTAAGGCAACACCGCACCCTGCAGCCCAGTTGACAAGAACGACAAGCTGTCAAGATTACGGATGTTTAGATCCACGAAAAGTAACGATATGTATCGATCCTTGTCGTTTTAGGAAGTATCGATACTCTAAAATATTGAACTAAAATTATGATATGCATCGAAAGGAAACAAAGAAGAAAAGTAATCTGAAGTTAGTCACTCTTTCTGACACAGTCCGGATCGAAAGATGACGATACTCGTGAAATGTATCGATACGCCCAAGTGTCGTATACAAAAATATCGATCCAAAATATCGGGTATGGGAAGCAAAAGTATCGATACTTCTAAATTAGTCTAAATCGTCTAAATTCAAAACCCGACAAGTCCATTTAAAGGAATTTTAGGGAAATCGCAAAAAACGTTTATAACGTCTATTTGTCTTAACAGAAACCAGCAAATTGAAACAAAATTTTATCAAAAAAAATGTGTAACGAAAAACTGGTTCCCAAACATATGTTATAATCAATAATTACTTAAATTAAGATTAAAGTTTGGACTTGTCGGGTTTTGCATATAAAACATGGTGACTTGTCGGGTTTTGGTTATTAACTGTGGCTAACACAAGGCGAATCGGCAAAACACGAACAAACTTTTGGATTATTTTATTACAAAGTAGTATTAAGAAAATGCACATTCCAAACAACATAAAATTTGTGTTTTCTTAATATCAAAATCTAAAGTTTCTTCTAAACAAAACAACTCTGTATTGGCCTCATTACCATCTCGTGAGGTTGAAGTGGATGAGAGAGGAAGTTCATCGAAGGCACTTTTGAAAAATGATAAGGCTTCATCATTTCGCCAATTACTTCCGTAATGTTTTGCAATCAAATTACTGATACTCTTCTTCTTATCCGATTTCAATGGCATTCCAATGTCTACAGTGCTTGGTTTGATGTCCAACTTTCTTCCTCTCCTCAGCAGCGACTGGTTGGTGCCCATGTCATTCTTATAGAAACTTTCACCTCCTACTGCATAAGCGGTTTCAGTTTTTAAAATTATGATGCGTTTGGACACTTGCAACTTGAAATGCCACTGTGATGTTGGTTTCATAACTATCTGAACTTTTGACTTCCAGTCCTGTACAGGAACATTAACTCCCAACTTGTAGATGCTTCCCCACTTCTCTATTACTTTCATGTATTGTTCTGGACTTGTAATTTCAGGTGACTTTTTAATAACCTTCTCAATTTGTCCAAATAGCCTATCTGGTGGAAAATAGGAATGCCCCACAACCGGAAAAGTATTTCAATTTTGTCTATGTTGGGGGTACTGCACTTTAATAACCAATGGGATGACATCCCAATGACGATGGAGTTCTTATTTTGCGCACCGCAACCATCACAAAAAAGGCGAACGACTTTAGTAGATTCGCTAAATTTAAATGTGCTGAGAGTATGATATAATGCTGATGCTATTTCATTGGATCCCCTTTGATGATCTAGTTCAGTCCATACATAAAAATTGCCTGAAGTTGGACTTATTTTTCCTTTAGAAGTCCCCTGTACAATTGCAAAGTGATAAAAGTTTAGCTGCATACTGAAGTAGGCTGCTTGATCTGCGATTTTTGGCAGAGCCAGGTTTTTTTGACAATCAAAGCTGAATGTAACAACCTCATTGTCAGCATGGACTTCTTTCAAAAGCTCATAGAAGCACTTTGCTCGGATTTTGTGAGCTCGCTGTTGAGCCATTAACCGATTCTTTGTGTTGATATCTAATGACTTTTTTATTTGGTCTTGAAACTGCAGGCATGTTGAACACATGTCGGTTTTAGGAGTACCAAAGCCAACATTGTATTTTCTGGTGAAAAAGTATCTGAAAAATGACTCCTTAACCTGAAGATCTTTGTCCACGGTATTGTTAAACATTCTCCAAAGTTTCCTGATATTTAGTTCTGCAGGCAAATAAATTCTACTGAATGCCTTAGATCGGCAATAATGAGACTCTATGCACTTCAGTGATTCAACAAACTCTTTTATAGCCGCTCGCTTTGTGTTATTTTTACCTTTTGTCTCCACGTCGTTCTTTGCGCATTTCATTGCTTTCCTTGTACCGTTTTACTACATTCAAAATCCTGTCTTTCTTCACTCCCAGAATGTTCATGAAACTCTGTCTGCACACATTAACCATTAGCCCATCTCTTCTTTTCACATAGTATTTCACTGACATAGATTTCGGCTTATTTTTTTCTTGTTGTCGTTTTCTTGATCTTTTGGGATCAGTAACGCTGCAATGCTTCAATATAAAATTGTCCTGGATGATTTTCTCTGATGTTTCGTGAAATGAGTCATAAAAAAATTTTATATCTCTCATGGTCAGCAGTGATATACATTGAAAGGGCTGGTACGGCTTACCTACAAGCCCACATTTTGGAAATGTTGGCAATAATTTTGCAGCATATCTAGAAAAATACATACAAATAAATTACTATTGCGTTTTGCATTTTCCCGCTTAGACGGCGTTTTAACTTTCTTTCGAGATCTATTACCTTCCGATGGTAGTATATTATATTTTTCGCAATGGAATTCACTCATATTTTAGGCTAAAATACCATCAAACTAGATCGCACAACATTAATCATTCGAGACTTAACGCAAAATAAACATGTGCATGCAAGTCAGGGCGACAAACCTCGATTGCAACACGTGATTGACCAAACACGAATTTCATTGGTCGACATGGACATGTCGGTATTTGAATTGAAACGACGCGTGGACATGTCGGCTTTTGCATTTCAAGGGAATTTTCCGTATTAAAAATAGCGTGTTAGAAGTCGGGTTTCGCCCTAAAAATATTGCATAGTTTGTAGCCCTTTAGATAAAGAATTCAATGGTGTATAAAACTGAAATTCCAAAATGTTGTGACTTGTCGGGTTTTGCATTTAGACGATTGAAATATGGAATTGTATTGAACGTCCCTACTGTCAAGATGTGTAACACGAGGTACTGACGGAGCTATTTTGCGGCGTCATGGAAATAATTTTAAATTTTCATTTGCATTTTTTTAAACGTTGTGCAACGATTTTGGGAAAAATTCCACGTTTAGTCTTATAAAGCATAGTAGAGTATATTTCAACAGGAGCTTACTCCACTGAGACCTAGGGTTGACGGATCCCACACATGTGTCACTCGTTGGCAAGTTTTGGAATGTAATAATCAGCTGTTATTCAAATAATGTCTAATATAAATATAAGCTAGAATGTGTACTCAGTGAAACAAGAAAGTTATTGCAAAATCTATTTATTTGCACGTTTTAAGTTTGCCGGTAGCTTTACGATATATATTTGAGTATTTCCTAATCGCTGTAAATATAGTGCGGATCTTTGTTCAGTTCCTGAATAACCAATAAGTATTTGACTTTCTGGATGTATGGATATGAAAAATCCTAAATGGTTTTTAAATATCAATCGACGGTGCTATAATGGTACTGATGAACGGTAAGCAAATGAATGAATGTTTGGAAACGAGAAATATCTATGAAATTTTTGGTAGAGCCTGTCATCAAGTAGGTGCTTAATGGCTATCTGCAAGAGGTTTATAGGAAAAAACACACGGTAGGTGATGTTGAATCAGTAAAGTCGTATATCATTTGAAGAAAATAATATAAACATGAATAAACAATCGACAATATTAAATAGAACCATGAATTTTATTCAAAAATCGAACACTTTTTGAAATTTTGACTAAACTTTATGTAATTTCTTAATATTCAATAAGCTGGTGATGTTTCCATGACGAGCTGTCATCTCATACTATGACAGTATTTTGTTTTCAACATTTCATAGCTGTTGGTTGCTAAAATTTGTTGATTGGAACTTGAAGCTCATTCGCTGTATTTGACGGACCCTATGAAATCCACCCTTATTCTTCTTTCACACGTTTTCACCGAATTATTTGTTCACCTACAATTTCGCCAACAATTTCGCTGTATTTCTTATGGGGAACCATAGATGGTAAGTTGGATACACACATAGCTGACGTATTCATATTATCGTAACCTGAAATTCATTGAATTCCCCCATGTCTCGATGTGTCGCCCCTTATCTGTCAATATTCACCACGCCGCCACGGGCGATTCGGATGTGGCAGGACAAGGTAAGTTATCATTTCCATATTTTCACGCGCCGTCTCCGACGTCCAATCGAATTCCGGCCAGAAACGAAATCAAAGGCCAACGAGATATATCGACGCATCGGCGACAAAGCCTCCCAGACTATGAATACCAACTCCGCTGCGTTAGTACAAGAGACAGACCGATTTTTTGGTAAAATACTGTTCTGCAGCACAAAAAAGGTTAATGATGTGTCCAGTGGGGAAGTTCACTTTTTGATTTAAGAAAAAAAATACAAAATACAAACTGTATGTATTACTATCAACATATATATATATATATGGCAAGTTTCTGCAACCTAAGGTCGCTTCTCGCTACCCATACGCCATCGTATCCTATCGTTCCAGTCTCCTTCATGTAGTCCTCTACTTTCCATTGCGGTATGGATGTTTGAAATCCATTTCCTTCGTGGTCTTCCTCGTTTATTTCTTTGTGCTGGTGTCCATTTCCAAACCCTTAATGGTATCCTTTCTTCGTTCATTCGTTGCAGGTGCCCATACCATTTTAACTGCCTCTCTGTTATATTGTCCATTATTGTATTTTCGACTTCCATTCTTTCTCTGATGGTCTCATTTCTAACATGGTCAAGTAAAGTTAAACCGGAACATCTTCTCCAGTACATCATTTCGGTTGAGAGAAGCTTTTGTGACATATTTTTATCTACAACCCACGCTTCTGACCCATACGTCAGTACTGGCTACTTTCTTTGTTAGGTTCTTACTCCACAAGATCGGATGTAGTGCTTTAATCATATTTTTTCCTTTTCCTATTTTCCTTAGTATGTCTTTATTATCCTTTCCGCTTTCATCTATTGTAACTCCTAGGTACTGGTACTGTCCCACGTTTTCTATTTTTCCGCTTTTTGTTTCGATGTCTTGTCCTGTGCCTCCTATAGTCATGTATTGTGTCTTTTGTATATTTATCTCCAAACCCCATTTAGTGAATTCTTCTATAAGTTTGTTTATCATGTAAGTCATGTCTTGCTGGTCTTCTGCAAAGAGTACCTGATCATCTGCAAAGAGGATTGTATACAAGTGAAAGTCCTCTAACCATATCCCCATGGGGCTGCACTTTCTTATCCACTGTTTTAAAGCGCTGCAGAGATAAATTTTAAACAGGGTTGGAGAGAGGCAGGAGCCCTGCTTAACACCTTTTGTTTGTGGGAAAGCCTCAGAAATTTGATTTCCGACTTTAACGACCACTTGATTTTCTCTATACATTGCTTTTACGGCGTTTGTGTATTTGCTATTTATGCCTGCTTCTTTCATTGCGATCCATAATTTCTGCAAAGGGACGGAGTCGAATGCCTTGCGGAGATCTATAAAAGTAGCGTGTAGCTCCATTCCTCTTGCTAATCTCTTTTCTGTCAGTTGTTTTATTGTAAATATGTTGTCGACACAGGATCGCCCAGGTCGAAATCCACTTTGTTCTTCAATTTCCGTGGCTTCGTCTTCTATTCGGGCTGTTAGGACTCTTTCGTACAGCTTTCCGATGGACGATGTAATACTAATACCCCGATAATTACTACAGTCACTCCTGTTTCCCTTTTTATAAATGGAATTTATGTAAGAGCTCCTCCAATCTCTGGGAATCGTTTCCCCTTCCAGGCACTTGTTAAAAATTACACAAAGTAGCTCGTGCGTTCTTGTGGTGGCGTGTTTAATTAACTCGATAGGCAAATCCCCCGGTCCCGGAGCTTTATTATTTTTCATTTTTTGTAATGCTGTTAACTATCAACATATTAAGTAAATTCAGCGGGTTTTATTTCTTAAATATAATTCCGTCCAAATGACACACTCACTTGCAGAGTTCTGGCAAGGAGATAAGTTTGCGAAAGTTGGATCTTTATTTGCGAGCCTGAATCAAAAATTTATGGTACATGGAATTTTGACACAAATGCATAGTGCAGGTGAGGCAATGGTTCCTCATTTTGGCAGACACTCATGCAAACAGTTTATTGACGCAAAACCTATACGATACGGCTAGAAATTATGGGTTGGCGCATCAAGACTAGGCTACGTTTACTGGGCTGAACCTTACCAAGGGTCGTCAACCAACATTACTAAGAATTATGCGGATTTAGGGGTTGGTGCTGATGTGGTATTAGAGTATTCTGATGCACTGAAGACAAAATGGCCAAATAAGAAGTTTCATTTAGTTTTACGATTACAACAAAATTTCCGATACAAACATAAATGCAGTAAAATGGCAGGACAATAATTTAGTAACACTCTGTTCAAATGCCGCAGGATTGCATCCAATTCGCTTTGTAAAGCGATACTCTCAAAAGGATAAAAAAAATATTCAGGTAAGAAACACAATCTGCAAGAAAATCAAGGTTTTCAAAAATGCTTTTGATTTTAGGTAGAACAGCCTCATGTTGTAAATGTATAACAACGCGTTGATCGTTGTGATCAAAATATTGGTCTGTATCCGGGGTAAAAAGTGGTATTTTTCATTGATCAACTACTGTATTGATATGGCTATTCATAATTCCTGGCAACTTTATAGATCGCACGGAGGACATATGGATCAATTATTATTTAGACGGCGGCTTGCCACAGCCTTGTTACAACAAAACAAGAAACCGCCGTCTTTTTCTAGAGGACGTCCTTCGGCTAATAAATATATAGATACGTCGGGGCTGTCGCGCCACAGCAATAAACCAAGACTCCACAAAAACGTGTACCAAAAAGCATGAACAGACTTTGCTTGATGACCAGTCTTGGTCACATTTGGAGAACCTTAGTAGCCTTTTGCAACCAGTTGTGCACTGGATCACATATTTGGATGGTGACTTCAATAGTATTCACGAAGTGTGGTCGGCATTTTTTGAAATAGAAAAAAATCTGGAAGACTTATTGCCTCAGGACTTGAAGTCTTCCATAGAAGCTGAGTAAATTCGGCAGAAACTTGAAGACAGAAAGTTACATGCCTTAAAGCCTGTTCATTTGGCAGCTTTTTCATCCTTGGCACAATAGTAGCCTTGTGTTGAAGATTCAACCAAATCCGAGCAGTTACAAACGGCACAACTATTAACGGACAGACAGACCGATAGACAGACCAACAGACAAACAGACAGAAATGAATGACATGTTTTTTTGTGATGTACTCGTACATGTCATATAATATCAAAAAAAAACCCAATATCTCATTTTCAAAACTTTTCGAGATTACAATACTTCCTCGTAAATAGACGTGAGAAGTAAAACAATGTTAGAAAATCTTTCAATATTGACAGTATAATGAATTGGTAGCTTCTCTTGACAAAAACGATGGAAAACAGAGGTT